TCTTGGGATGGCTGCTGAAATGAACTTCAGTTGTCCTTGAAGAATAATTCTAGAGGTTAGAATGAGGTAAAAATGAAGACATTGGCCTGCCTCCTCTCAAAATTGTGTTTTCTTTTTAAATTAATTTTCTTTTGCATTATATGCTACCTAGAAATTGAACCCAAGACCTCATGCATGCTAGGCAAACACTCTACTACTAAGCCACATTCCCAACCCAAAGCAGGGTTTCCTAATGCTATCTTTTATTTATTTTTATTAATATATTTTTATTGTAAAGATACTATACAGACGGGTTACAGTTACATGAGTAAGATAATGAGTACAAAATTCCTATGGAGCATTGTTATCCCCTCCTTTGTTTTTCCCCTACCATCCCTTCCTTCTCCAACTCCTCCCTCCCCCCAAATTTGTAAAGTTTGTTTTCAACATATCATTACAATGGGTCAACCTGTATTCTTATTTCAGCATTTTGTTATTTCCCTTATTATAAAAATGTATATACAAGATACAGGTGATGGGGGATGGGAAGGTGGCTCAGTGGTAGAGGGCTTAGCTTGCATGCCTGAGGCCCTGGGTTCGATTCCCCAGCACCACATAAGCAAAAAGAAAAAAGCTGGAAGTGGCGCTGTGGCTCAAGTGGTAGAGCGCTAGCCTTGAGCTGAACAGCTGAGGGACAGCGCCCAGGCCCAGAGTTCAGGCCCCACAAACGGACCCCCCCCCAAAAAAAAAAAAGATATAGGTGATGGGAATCAAATACAGTAGAAACAGGGGTTTTACCATGGGGACAGAACATACAAAAGAAACAACAAAATCACATAGTACATTATAAGTACATTAAAAAACAAAATTATTAAGAAAGATCAAACCTCTTATGTCCCTATCTTGGGGTTTATTTCACTTTGCATCATCTTTTTTTTTTTTTTTGTCGGTCATGGAGGCCAGTCGTGGGGCTTGAACTCTGGGCCTGGGCACTGTCCCTCAGCTCTGCAGCTGAAGGCTAACGCTCTACTACTTGAGCCACAGTGCCACTTCTGATTTTCTAGTGGTTTATTGGAGATAAAAGTCTCAGGGATTTTCTTGACTGGGCTGGCTTTGAACCACGATCCTCAGATCTCAGCCTCCTGAGTAGCTAGGATTACAGGTGTGAGCCACCAGCACCCAGTTTAGAATCATCTTATATGGTCATATGTACATAGCGTTTGACTTTTTCTGCCTGTCCTAGACATATTCTACTTACTGCAAATAAGGGAAACCATGGGACCTATGTTTTTTGGGGGGCCTGGCTTACTTCACTTAATATAATTTTTTCCAAGTCTTTCCATTTCCTAATAAATGGGACGGTGTCATTCTTTCTGATGGAGGCATAGAATTGATATATATATATATATCTCACCTTTTCTTGATGTACTCATCTACTGTGGGGTGTTAATGCTGTCTTTTAAATTCACCACAGATTTTAAATCTTTCACATGCTTTCCCTTTCCGTCAATTTGGTTTTTCCACAGTTCCAAACATTATAAAGGGACAAACTTTCATGAACTGTCACTTTTATTTGCCCATGGGTAAATAGTTGACACAGTAATTGCTTAATTTCAAAGAACTTGGTTAAAATAATAATGAACTAATATTTCAGGGTATATTTGAAGTGAAGTTCTTTGCAATACTGAGTTCACATATTACAAAACCATTTTGAAATATTTACTCTGCCTTAATATGGGGATTACAGACATGTACCAGTCAGTATGCTTGGCTCTCCATGTCCATTAATGGAGTGAATTCATAATGAAAATGTGGCATATATACACAATGGGATTCTGTTCTCCCAAAGTGTGCTATCTATCCTTTTCAACATGGACAGACCTGGAGGACATCATATTAAATGGGATAAACCAGATGCATAAATTCTCATATGTGATAAATTCATGTATAAGTAAAACCTAAAAAAATTGATTTCACAGAAGATCAATAGTAGAAATTGAAAATAGAATAGTACTTACTAGAGACTAAGAAGAGCAGGAAGGATGGGGTATGGACTGAGGATACAATGACTGGCAGGAAGAATCATTTCTGTTGTTCTATGGCCCTGCAGGGGCATAATCAACCTAGTGGGTTGTTTACGTGAATATTGCTGGAAGACAGGATTTGGGGTGTACTCACCACAGAGGACAGCGAAACTTTATAGTGAGGTGCTAATTGCTGAGTTGCTCACCACACAATGAAACAAAACATCACACTGTGCCACAGAAATATGTACAAATACTATCCTTCATTCAAAAATAAAAAATAAATTGAGCATTTTAGGAGAAGTAGGTAAAGACTAGTGTTTTGGTTTTATTCAGCTGAGATCCAGATCCACTATCAGGTGGATCAGGTTTTATCTGTGGACTTTAGATACAGTGGTATTCCTAGTGTGAGGAGTTTGATGTGGTTAGTAAAGAAAATGGAAGTGAAGAATGCATGTGTCATTTGCTTAAATCTACTACTAACAAATAGTTATTCATGTTACCTATGTACTGTGATGGTTTATTTCATAAGTCATAATGTTCCACCATTTATCTGTGGAACATTATTTCTTGGTATATCCAGGAAGGTATTTCTAGGTGAAATTAGCATTTGAATCAGAATAAGTACAGAAAATCAACTATCACTATGTGAATACACACTATTGAATCTACTGGGCTCTAGGGTTCTAGGACCCTTCTATCTTCTCTTGCTCTTGGACATTAGAATTCCTATTTCCCTGGCCTTTTTTGTTTTGTTTTGTATTGTTTAATTCACACTGGGACTAGGGAAATCATTCAGCCATAGTTTGTTTGCCTTTTGTGTATGAAGCCTTGTGGTTAGATCCTGCCAACACACACACACACACACACACACACACACACACACACACACACACACACCCCATATACACACCCCTCACTTTAAAACTTTCTAGTCTGAACTTACATTACTAGACGACTCTTTCCCTCTTTTCAGGCTTCCAACTATGGACAGAAACTGACACTATTGATTTCCTGGTTCTCAAGCTTGCAAATGGCATCTTGCATGATTTTCCAGCCTCTACAACTCTTGAACTTGTCCCGATAATAAGCTTTATCTTATATATCTGTATCTTCCATGCTGGCTTTGTTTGTGTTGAGAACTCTGAGCAACATCCTTCTCAGAAGCTAGAAAAGGGCATCTAGAAAGTAGATTCTGCCCTCTACTGGGTCTATAATTCTCCATTAGGCATTTTTTTTTTTTTATAATCACCCAGTGTGAAGAGAATTTATTTTGAGTTGCTGATTCGTTTCTTTAAATTTGAACTCGGATGACAGTGGGGCCTGAGGCAGCAGTGATGTGAGGAGGATTCTCTCCAGAGCCCTCTGGTAAGGAAGGTGATGGTGGGGGCTGTGTTTCCTGAGTCACGGTGTGTCCTGGGTGGCTCAAAGCCCTTTCCCAGGACTCTTGTGATGATCGCGGGAGACACAGCCGAGGCATCAGCATTTATACTTGTGGAGCAGCAGGTCAGTACGGGATCTTTTTTCAGGCCCCACCTAATAAAAGCCTAGATGGTGCTGGCATTGTGCTATGCACTGGAATCGGAGACCTCAGGTTTCGGTTCCAAAGTATGTGGTTCTCCAGGTTCATGGGTGGCTACAAATAGTACTGGGGTTTGTAGCACTGTGAACGGGTTTAGTGGAACCGTGAGATGGTCTACAACCTTCTTCAGGTAACCTTACGTGCTATCATGGTTTTGCGTGAGCAGCTGTTTTCTAGAGTCCTTGGGCTGCATTCCCCATGCAGGGTCTTGAGGTCCACACCCCTTGAGGTGCAGAACAGGAGACAGCCCCTTGCGAAGTTGTATGTATTGAGCACTTGGGGTGCTGGGGCTTGTGGGTTTGGTCTCTGGGATCCTAGTTGAGTCGGGGGTATCCCTGGATCACAGGTGGAAAGCGGTGGTGGGGACCAGGCTGGTGTCACTGGGAGTGACAGTCCCCGAGCTGGAGCACAGGGCCAGGCTCCAGCGACAAGCCGGAATGAAGCTGAGGCGTTGGCACCATTGGCCGGGATGGAGAACTACCTACCCTAAGGCCTGCCAGCACATGCAAATGTTTGGGGGGCCTGGGCTCACCAGCAGCTGCATTCCCATGGAGGCATGGCTCAGCCCAAGGGAGTGTTTCCAAGCTGGTGAATCTGGTTTTTGTCATGGTAACCACAGTCCCCAGGCTGAGAAGAGACTTTGTGTGGATTATGGAGGGAAGGCCCAGGCTGGAGTGAGCACAGTCGTGGGGGTGGGTGGGGAGGGGGAGGGCCACAGGCAACAACTTTCCTGGAGTTGCTGGGTGGTTGCTGGGGGATTTCTCAGCTGCGGGTGCACAGGAGCTGGTGAGCCGGGAAAACCGTGAGCTGATCGCCCTGGGTGAGCGCAGGGGTTAAGCCTGGCCTGGAGCCCTTGGAAGCTGGGAGTTTTTTTTTTTTTTTGTTTTTTTTGTTTTTCCTCGGCTTCAGATGCACCCGGCTGGGGGGTGAATGGGGGGTGTGTGTGAATGTTACAGTGGAGGGCTGAGCCCCAAGGCTGTGAGCCGCGCAGGGGCTTTGCCCAAATCCGGCCAGGGGAGGGCAGGTGTTTGCCCCGCGGGCTGGGGCGACTGGAGGCTGCGTTCAGAAAGCTGCAGGGTTCTCTCCAGACTTTCGCCTGTCCAGGGTGCACGGACCCCGGTTGTTCAGCAGGGGCTGCAGTCTCAGTGTTGTGTTCTGGAGGCTGGGTGCGGGGGCAGGAAGATGCTCCCCAGTTCCTGCAGAAAGACGCAGCGCTGGTCCAGAGGTGGAGGGCTGCTGAGAGGCCAGGCGGTCCTCCGCCGCCGGAGGTGCGCTCCAGCCCCGGGCTTGCCCGCAGGCCCAGCTGCCGCCAGATGCCAGGAGGTCCTCAGTCAGTAGCTGTTGGAGGATTGAGTTCTGAGGGTCTGTAGCCAGGCACCTGCTGGCCTATGTCGGACTCGAGGCTGTGGGTGGTTTTTCTTTCTTCTCTAGGCTGCCTCTCTGTTTCCCTGTACTGTCTAGAATCCCTGTGCATTCTACTCTCCTCAAAACAGTTTTTCCTTTAATGCGCTGACTCTTCTCTGTGCCAGAGTTGCCCGAAGAGCATAGAGTAACTGCTCAGCCATCTTGGGTCTCGCCTTGTCTTTTGAGTCTTGAAGTTTTTTTTCCCATTGGCCTCTACACACCTTCAAACATTTGTAACGCCCTTGCTGGAGGACGTTTCTGCCCCATGGCAGAGCAGTGAACGCCGGCTGGGACTACAGGACCCCCCTTGTGAGTAGTAGGTGTGCAAGGAAGACACTGAGGGATGCGTCCAGGGGCTTTCCTCTGCTGTGTGTGTGAGCAGTTCCTCTCCTTGATGTGGCAGATCCCTCTCAATTGACGATTAACCACACATTGCTCTGTGGAGTGGCTTCATTTCTACCAGATGGAATAGAGGCTCTGCTGAGAGAATTAAGGCATCTCTGATATGCTGGAAGACAATACTGGTTTCCTAGCCCCCAAATACCTGCTCTGGACGTTTTCCTTTTATCTTTAGGGAAAAGCACTAGGAGAATGCTTCTTTCTTTAGCGGTATGATGGTAAATTTTGACACAGGGACATTCTTTTTAATCATTCACCCAAATCATGCAGGTATCCAGTTGGAAATGTAAGAGTTTACAACTTTATTGGGGAAGTATGGCCCTTTTGACCATAACTACCTCCGAAGAAAGCAGACTTCTGTTTTACTTAGATAATTAAGAGAGGGATTATCGCCGGGAAAAACATTACCTTTGCTTTCGTTTCTACCAACAGGCCAAAGTGTACTGAAGATAAGCAGAGTTTACCCAAAGTTTGAAGGCTTTGTACTTCGGTGAACCATGTGTGCATTATTCATAGAAGCCTTGGGATCTAAACTTTCAGTTGCCCTTACACAAAGTTTGTCAACTGAACTCCTTATCCTCTTGGGGCTTGGTCTTTCCGGTTTGGTTCTTCTTTCTCTATGGAATGGAAACAGTGTCAAAGGGAAGCTCCCACCCGGCCCCACCCCGCTCCCAATTATTGGAAATATTCTACAGTTAAATCCTAAGAATATTGTCAAGTCCTTAAGCATCGTAAGCATGATTAATTTTTTTCTTTTAGTTGATTGCAATAAGTGAACCATATTAAAGCTAAATAAAATAGGGTCCCAGGAAGTGTGTTTTAAAGAGATAGGTTCTTTGGTCACTAAGGTATGGCTTAAGAAATCTACAGCTGGAAGGAACTCTATGGTGTAACAAGACCACAGCACTAAAATTTCCTAAAGAAGACACTGATTTGACATAACCATGTTGACAGTTTCTATTATATTTACTGAATGAATGGGTCAATTTACACAGCAGTAGCTCTCTGAATCCTGATGGAATGAATGGTCAGAAAACTGAGTTTTCCCTGAGATAGATCATTACCAGAGCACTGCTAGCTTCTAGAAGATCCTTCCTGTGCTTTGAACTCTCAGCTTCTTCATTTGTTACTTCTCAGCTTGAGGAATTTTTAAAATCTCTGAGCTGTGAATTCCATGTCATTAAGTTGTAGACAGTGATGTCTTTCAAAGGCTATTGATTGTGGCATACTTAAATGTGTCCTTTGTACCTAAAATATGTACCTAAAAATGTGTCCTTTGTATTAGGTACTATCCGAGGTGCGTGCAGATGATTTTTAATATTTAAAAGCTTCTGTTAATATAAAATGTAAAGCTCAGAGATTGGGCATGTGCTATGACCAGGCTACCAAGTTGTCATGTGTTTCTGAAACTTAGGGTGTTAAGAAGGGTGGATAATGAGGATGGCATAAGTGGGAGGGTCTTCCTTTAAAAAAGAAGAGGAAAACATCTTTTAAGTACAGATAGATACAAAGGAAAAATTTGAAGTGATTATACTTTTGGCAGGAAAAGTTAATGAAATAACAAAAAAGTGGAATATGGCTTCTATTATGTTGTGAGAATAATGATAATAATAATGGCAATGCTATTAATGATACAGCATCATTACCACTCTATGTAATTTCCTATTAAATTGCTCCTTTTATTATAATGGGTAAATGAATATTAAAATGATTCTTCAGAAGGATTATAAATATTCCTCAGTTATTTACATAAAGCAATTAGAATCTTCACTTTTATTGTATTTGTGATCCTTTTCCAGCTAGCGAAAAATTATGGCCCTGTGTTCACTGTATATTTGGGCATGAGGCCCACTGTGGTGTTGTATGGATACAAAGCAGTGAAGGAAGCTCTGATTGATCGGCAGAAGAGTTTGGTGGTAGAGGGAGTTTCCCAGTGATGGATAAAGCCATCCAAGGATTGGGTATGTTTCTTTACTGGGGAGAATGTTAATCAGATGGCAAGTTGTAAATAATTTGGATAGGCAAAGAAATTGAGAAACTACAGCATTTGGAGAATTCATTCCTTGACCCCCCCCACCTCAAAAAAAATGTTTCAACTTCCTGGTATTCATTTTGTTAACCTGTAAGTTGTTCAATCCTCCCCTGCATGTAACATACTTTAGTCAGTTTACTTATGTGTGTATATAGATATACATGATCCTGTATATGTTTTCTTATATGCTTATAATTTAGATCTAACTTCCACATGTGTGAGAGAATGTGTGCCCTTTGTCCGTCTGTCCCTCTAGATCTTGTCTTTTTTTTTTTTTTTTTTTTTTTAAACTGACAAAACTTTATTTTGTTGTCATTTGGAAGGAAAAAGAAAATGTACAAAACAGTTGGGCTAAGATTTATTTTCCCTCCTTTGTTTTAACTAGGAAAATCTTTCTCTTCTCTCTTCCTTCTACTTACACCGTGCATTATCTGCTTTAATTCTTTTTTTTTTTTTTTTTTAAATTTTATTTTATTTTATTTGAGAACATACTATACAGAGGGGTTACAATTACATGGGCAGGATAATGCATACATTTCTTACCAAGCATTGCATCCTCCTCCTTTGTTTACCCTTCACCTCCCTTCCCAGCCTCCCCCCCCCTCCCACCCAATCATACCCCCCCTCCCCCCCCCACCGACATTGTAAAGCTGGTTTTGACATGACATTTTGTACTTCTCATTGTTGCAACAGGTCCACCTGAATCCTTAAACGACTTGTTTGTCCCCGTCTCCTCCACATGTTATACTGACATCAAATATAGTGAAAGCAGGGGTTACACTGTGGGGGAGGGACACACAAAGCAACAAAGAAATAATCTTATAAATGCATTAGAAACACATGCATGAAAGAAACAAAAACATTAAAATACATATTTGAGGGTTCGTTTTCCTAACATCACATTCTCTGACTTTTTCCGCTTGACTCATACCTATACTAGATATTGCAAATAAGGGAAACCATGGGACCTATGTTTCTTTGGGCCTGGCTTACTTCACTTAATATAATTTTTTCCAAGCCTTTCCATTTCCTAACAAATGGGGCAATGTCATTCTTTCTGATGGAGGCATAGAATTCCATTGTGTATATATACCACATCTTCTTGATCCATTCATCTACTGAGGGGCATCTGGGTTGGTTCCATGTCTTAGCTATGGTAAATAATGCTGCAATAAACATAGTTGTGCTGGTAGCTTTAGTGTGGCCTTATTTGTGATCATTTGGGTAAATGCCCAAAAGTGGGATTGCTGGGTCGTTGGGGAGCTCTATGTGGAGTCTTTTGAGGAACCTCCATACTGCTTTCCAAAGTGGTTGAACAAGTTTACATTCCCACCAACAATGAAGTAAGGTTCCTTTCTGTCCACATCCCCTCCAGCATCTGTTGTTGTTAGAGTTCTTGATTTTTGCTGTTCTAACTGGAGTGAGGTGATATCTCAATGTTGTTTTGATTTGCATTTCTTTTATGGCTAGGGATGTTGAACATTTCTTCATGTGTCTATTGGCCATCCTTCTTTCTTCTTCAGAGAAGCTTCTCTTTAAGTCTTTCGCCCACTTACTTATTGGGCAGTTGTTTCTTTGAGGATTTGTTGTTGGGTGGTTTAATTTTTTGAGTTCCAAGTATATTTTAGATATGAGACCCTTGTCCGTTGTATGGCTAGTAAAGATCTTCTCCCAGTCCGTGGGCTTTCTATTGATCTTGCTAGCTATGTCATTTGCCCTGCAGAAGCTCTGCAACCTTATACAATCCCATTTGTCCAGCCTTTCTTTGATTTGTTGTGTTTCCGGGTCTCTATTCAGAAAATTTCGGCCTGAGCCAAGGAGACCCAGGGTTTCTCCTATTCCATCCTGTAATGTTTTCAGAGTGTCTGCTTTGAGTTCAAGGTCTTTGATCCATTTGGAGTTGATTCTGGTGCAGGGTGATATATAAGGATCTAGCTTTAGTTTTCTACATGTAGTTAACCAGTTTTGCCAGCACCATTTACTGAAGAGGCTGTCTGTCTTCCATTCTATTGTTTTAGCTCCCTTATCGAAGATTAGATGGCTATAGGTCTGTAGGTTCATTTCTGGGTTTTCAATTCTATTCCATTGGTCCTGAGGTCTGTTCTTATGCCAATACCAAGCTGTTTTGATTACTATGGCTTTATAGTAGAGTTTGAAATTTGGTATTGATATTCCTCCAGCAGTATTCTTTCCGTTGAGGAGCGTTTTTGCTATTCGGGGTCTTTTATTGTTCCATATGAATTTTTGGATTGCCTCTTCTATTTCCTTGAAGAATGAGGGTGGAATTTTGATAGGTATTGCGTTGAATTTGTAGATAGCCTTGGGCAATATTGCCATTTTCACGATGTTAATCTTTCCAATCCAGGAGCATGGGAGGTTTTGCCATTTTTTAAGTTCTGTGTTGATTTCCTTTTTCAAGATTTTAAAGTTTTCATCATAGAGGTCCTTCACTTCTTTAGTTAAGTTAATTCCTAGGTATTTTATTTTTTGTGAGGCTATTACAAATGGAGTTGCTTTCCTAATTTCAGCCACACTTTTCTCATTGTTGGCATACAGAAAAGCCATTGATTTTTGGGGGTTAATTTTATAACCTGCTACTTTGCCAAAGTTTTGAATCAGCTTGAGTAATTTGGGAGTGGAGTCTATGGGATTCTTTAAATACAAGATCATGTCATCTGCAAAGAGGGAGAGTTTTATTTCTTCTTTCCCTATTTGGATCCCCTTTATGTCTGCATCTTGTCTTATTGCTGTAGCTAGGCATTCTAATACTAGATTGAAGAGAAGTGGAGAGAGTGGGCATCCTTGTCTTGTTCCTGAGTTAAGAGGAAATGGCTTTAGTTTTTCACCATTGAGTATAATGCTGGCTGTAGGTTTGTCATATACAGCCTTTATTGTATTGAGGAATGTTCCATGGATTCCTAATTTTTCCAAAACCTTCATCATAAAGGGGTGTTGGATCTTGTCAAATGCTTTTTCTGCGTCTATTGAGATAACCATGTGGTTCTTATTCTTGCTCCTGTTGATGTGATGAATAATATTAATTGATTTGCGTATATTGAACCAGCTTTGCATCCCTGAAATGATTCCTGTTTGATCGTGGTGTATGATTTTTTGGATGAATTGTTGAAGTCGATTGGCCAAAATTTTGTTGAGAAGTTTCGCATCAATGTTCATCAAAGAAATGGGTCTATAGTTCTCTTTCTTTGATGAGTCCCTACCTGGTTTTGGGATGAGGGTTATGATGGCTTCATAGAATGTGTTCGGTAGTGAGCTTTCTCTTTCAATTTCATTGAAGAGTTGGAGGAGAATTGGTGTGAGCTCTGCTTTGAAGGCCTTGTAAAATTCCGCTGTAAAACCATCTGGTCCTGGACTTTTCTTAGCTGGGAGGTCTCTTATTGCTGTTTCTATTTCAATGCTTGATATGGGCCTGTTAAGATAGTTTACCTCATCTTGGTTTAGTTTTGGCATGTCAATATTTGCTAGGAAGAGGTCCATTTCTGTCAAGTTCTCAAACTTATTAGCATAAAGTTTTGAGAAGTATTCCCTTATAATGTTCTGAATCTTGCTTGTTTCCGTGGTGATGTTTCCATTCTCATCTCTGAGTTTATTAATTTGGGTGTGTTCTCTTCTTTTTCTGATAAGATTTGCTAAGGGTCTGTCAATTTTGTTAAGTTTTTCGAAGAACCAACTCTTTGTTTTGTTGATTCTTTCTATAGTTTTTTTGGATTCTAATTCATTTAATTCTGATTTAATTTTGATTATTTCTTTCCGTCTACTGGATTGGGGTTTATCTTGCTGCTCTTTTTCAAGGAGGTTTAGATGTGTCATTAAATTGTTAGTTTCAGATATCTCCAATTTGTTGATGTAGGAGCTCAGAGCTATAAACTTGCCTCTGAGTACTGCCTTTGCTGTGTCCCAGAGGAGCTGGTATTTTGTGTGTTCATTTTTGTTGAATAGCATGAACATTTGAATTTCCTTTCTAATCTCTTCCATGACCCACTCATGATTCAGCAGTGTGTTGTTCAGCCTCCATGTGATACCGGACTTTCTTTGGTGGCTTTTGGTGTTGAGTTCTAACTTTATTCCCTTGTGGTCAGAGAGAATGCAAGGTATAACTTCAATGTTTCTGAATTTAGACAAGTTTGCTTTGTGGCCTAAAATGTGGTCTATTTTAGAAAACGTTCCATGTGCTGCTGAGAAAAACGTGTATTCTGATGCTGCTGGGTGAAATGTTCGGTAAATGTCTGTTAAGTCTAGTTGATCTATGCAGCTGTTTAGATCTGCGGTTTCTCTGTTGAGTTTTTGCCGAGTTGATCTATCTAGTGGGGAGAGTGGTGTGTTAAAATCCCCAACGATTAATGTCTTTGGATCTATATGGGATTTGAGGGAAAGTAGTGTTTCCTTGATAAATTTGGGTGCTCCATTGTTTGGCGAATAGATATTTAGAATTGTAATATCCTCCTGAAGGAGAGATCCTTTAATTAGTATGTAGCGACCTTCTTTATCTCTTTTCATGAATTTTAATTTGAAGTCTATTTTATCTGATATTAGGATTGCAACTCCCGCCTGTTTATGCGGTCCGTTTGCTTGGTAGATTTTGTTCCAGCCTTTAACATTGAAAATGTGTTTGTTTTTATGGGCAAGATGTGACTCCTGCAGGCAGCAGATAGAAGGGTCTTGTTTTTTAATCCAACTAGACAGTCTATGTCGCTTAATTGGAGAGTTCAGTCCGTTAACATTAAGAGATAGGACTGAGAGGTATTTGGGAGTTCCTGCCATGTTATCTACCTTCTTGGGGGCTGCGAAAACTGGGTTCTTCCTATGGTTCTTGGATTCTCAGTTTGGGTGCAGTTTCTTGGCCTTTATTGCGGTCTTGTTGGCTTTCTATGTGTAGGACATCTTTAAGAATCTTTTGTAGGGCTGGTTTGGTGGAGATGTATTGTTTCAATTTTTCTTTGCTATGGAAGGTTTTTATTTGGCCTTCAGTTATGAAGGAGAGTTTAGCTGGGTACAGTATTCTTGGTTGATAGTTGTTTGTTTTTAGGGCATGGCATACATCATTCCAGGCTCTTCTTGCTTTGATTGTCTCTGCTGAGAAATCTGAGGTGATTCTAATTGGTTTCCCTTTATAAGTGATTACCCTTTTCTCCCTGACAGCTTTAAGGATCTTTTCCTTGTTCTGAGTTGATCCTGTGTGGATTATAATGTGACGGTGGGATGTCCTATTCTGGTCTGGTCTATTTGGGGTTCTAAAGGCTTCTTGTATCTGGACAGGCCTATCTTTTTGCATGTTTGGGAAGTTCTCTGCTAGGATCCTGTTAAACAGATTTCCTAGACCATTAACTTCTGTTTCTAGGTGTTCCTCTACACCCATTATCCTTAGATTAGGCCTTCTGATGGTGTCTTCCAGGTGTTGGATAGATCTATCATATTTCTTGGACTTGTCTTGGATGGTTGTATGTTCTTTCTCTATAATATCTAGGCTGTCTTCAATCCCTGAGATTCGATCTTCTGCATGGTCTAACCTGCTGTCAAGACTCTCTACTTTGTTTTTTATCTCTTTTCCTTCTAGTTGGTCAGCTTTGATGGCTTCAAGTTCTTTGTTGAAGCTCTGTTTTAGGTCTTGTATGAATTTCTTTACTTCCTTAATTTGGTGTTCAGTGTTTGTCCTCAAATCACTTAGTTGATTGGTTATGGTTTCTTTGGGCTCCCATTCCTTCTGTTGGGTTCCATTCAGCATTCCCTTTGTGGTCTCCCTGACTTCCTTCAGCTCTTTGTTAATGGATTCCATGAATGCCTTTAGTGATCTTTGTGTGTTCTCTACCTGGTCTCTCAATTCCTGTATTACTCTTTGATTAGCTTCCTCCCGTTCGTGGGATTCCTGCAGATCTCTTTGAGTGTTCTCAGCCTGCTCACGCCATTCCTCCCTTTCTCTTTGAGTATTCTCAAGTTGTTCACGCAAATCCTGTATCAGTTTTTGAGTAGCTTCCTCACGCTTATGATATTCCTGTATAAACTTCTGGGATGCCTCCTCTCTCTCCCTATCACGCTCATACAGAGTCCTTTGTACGTTGTCAAACTTTTCATTTATCATGTTTGCCACCAGTGTTTGTAGAGCTGTTTGGGAACTCTCCTCTGGATTATTCATTATCTGTTCTAACCCCTGATTATCAGGATTGGGAATTGAGATACCCGAATTTGCCATTTTTCTTGTGTTTTTCCGGCTTACTCTGCCCATTTGAGATGAAGATAGCACCAGTTTTGTGCTAGAACACTATCTTAAGGCAACCATCAACCAAAGTTTGCATTTGTACAGTCAATAGTCTACAGATACAATCTAGTTCAACAGATACATCTATTCGACATCAAACAACTATATGTTAAAGAACTTCGAACCGCAGAGAAGAATTTGGAAAGCCAGAAATTATTAGGGTTAGGAAGAGATGTGGGTAAAAAATAGGAATAGATTGGTGTGGGGAGGCACAGGGAGAGTTAACTATGTCCTAATCACAATGCAGGAAATAGGTTGGGTAGGATGTAAGTAGAGAGAGAGAGAAGAAGAAGAAAGGGAAAGGGGAATGAAAAGAGACCAGAAAAAAAATAGAAACGTAAAAATTAATGTTATTTTAGAGATTAAAAGACCATCTATTTATAGAGGAATATGAATATGTTGAGAGAAAGGGAGGGACATAGAGGAGATGAGAAAAACTTTAAAAAAATGCTTAAAATATTGTATAGGTATAAAGTACTGCTATTAGTGAATTTAAGTCTCAGAGGTTTTGAATTGAGTAATAAGTTTGTGGATTAAGTGTGTACACAATGGGGGATAGGGTCTACTGGTTAACTACGGGTTTATCTGAGGATGTGCAGGACAAGAGTTAAGTCACATAAAGATGAACAAAGAGGAAAAGATGGAAAGGATAGGAAAGTGAGAAGAAAAGATCAGAAGTTCAGTAGAGCTAGAAAAAAAAACCAAAAAGATAATTAAGAATGAAAGAAAAAGAGAAAGAAGACAAGAAAAGAAAAGAAAACACACATTCACGTATTCCTAAAATAAAAATTATAAGAGGAGAAAAAAAAAAAGTTAATGGAAAACAATTATTTTTTCAGAAGAGGCAAAGATTAAAGATTAATAAAAGTTTTAGAAAAGCAAAAAAAATTTTTTATATATATATAAGGTAACAAAAAATGAAAAAAAACAAAACAAGAAAAAGAAAAAAAGAAAAAAGAAGAAAAAAAAAGTTCTTTGATTTTTTTTTTTTTTTTTTGGGAGGGGTGGGAAGTGTCCTGTATCTCCCTTTTGTCTGTAACCAGAGTCTGGTTGGAGACTCTGGTCAGCTTGAGGTCCTGTGGCTTGATTGGTTTCTTAAGTCAGTTTGTTGGAACAGGCAGGAAAATGCTCTGCTTTACCCAAGATTTTGAGATCCCCCTCCCAGGTTAATTTACTGGGAGGGTGATCTGCTTTGAGAATCACAAAAGAGGGGGATGCAGTGATGAGGCTAGGTTCTGGGTAGAGTTGAGGCCTTTCAACGAACAGTAGCTTTTCCCTGGGGCTATTTTGTGAAAAAAAACTCACAGCACCCAGCCTGGAGCCATTCTCAGGGTTTCTGTTTTTCAATTGATTGTGGTGGCTGCTAGAGGGAGGGGCAGCCTCTGGCTCTGGCCACCCAGCGAGGAGAGCCACTCCAGTGGCTGGTGCCTGAGCTGGGCGACCCCTCCCTGGATGGAACTGAGTCTGTGAGGTCACCTCGCCGCCAAGTTCCTGTGACCTGCCAAATGACTAGCTCTATTCCAAGGCCTGAGCTGGAGCTAGCCGCTCCTCCGAGCTTTGTCGGTATCCAAGATGGAGATCACCGGTGCTGGGGGGGGAGGGGTGGCCTTCCCTCCTCTGCTCCCAGAGGAGTGAGGAAGTGGGGCTTCTACTCACGCGGAGTCTTGGATCTCGGGTCGTCTCTGGTCTGCAAAGTGCAGGATGAAGTTGTCCGCTCCTTGTCGGTTCTTGCTGGTGTTGAGTAGAATCCGCTCGTCCGCTGCGTCTGGCTCCTTTGTCCCGGACTGCGTCTCAGGTCTGCCTCCGCGGCGGTGGTCGCCGCTGCGACCCTGCCGCCGCAGCGGCAGCTGCTCAGATGTTTCTGCTTGGCTTCCCCTCTCTTGACTAACTCTCTGTCCTGTGATGGCACACTTGGTGTGATTCTCTGGCTTGGGACTGTTCACTGGAACTCTGAAACTGTTTTCTATGCAAGAGCTTGTTCAGATTCCAGCTTCTCCTCCGCCATCTTCCCGGAACTCCCCCATAGATCTTGTCTTGACTTTGGAGGTCTCACATTGAATTTCATTGGTCCTATGACCACATTAAATAGGAGAGATTAAACAGAGGGAAAATATTTAAATGTGAATTATTCTCTGCCAATGTTGGCCTCTTTTCTGAGGAATACACTGTCATGTTATTACTTCTACTGTAGAAGAGTTGTCTGACTTTTTGAGAATTTCCTTCTCTTGATGAACTGCCTAAGGTTCACTTGCAATCAGAAACAAGAAATTTACCTATGACTTGTATTCACCATGATTTATTAGCTGTGTTGTCATAGAGCTAGCATTTTGCTTTTATGATATTCAATGTCCTTGTTAGTAAAACTGCAACAAAATACTTACTTGGTTTACAGAACTATGCTGAGGATTTGAAGAACTAATGTATGAAGAACTAAGTAGTGTGTCAAGTCAATAGTCCCAATAGTAAAATAGTAGATTCAGTTAGAAGAAGTGGCAGGTAAAGTGGAGCTCAAGATGATATAGTTATGGCTTTATAAATCTACTTGTGTTGTCAGCATTTCATGAGATGGAAAGTCTAACTAGAATTCACTATGATAGAGGATGCTGTTCTGTGCTTTTTTCTTCCTATAGGAATTGTTTTCAGCAATGGGGAAAGATGGAAGCAAACCCGACGTTTCTCCCTCATAGTTTTGAGGAATATGGGGAAGAAAACTATTGAAGACAAAATTCAAGAGGAAGCTTTGTGTCTGGTGGAAGCATTAAAAAAAACAAATGGTACATATTTACTTAATTATTAAGAGTAATTGTTAGGATAGACATGATATTTTTAGAAACAGTGTAAGAAAAGTTTATGGAGTCTCAAGAGCCACTGACGTTTACTTTTTCCTCACTTAATTAGTGAGACATAAAATATAGCATACTTTCAGGAAGCAATAAGCTTTTGATATAGGCCAAGTTAATATAGGCCTTTGTTTTCTTCATTATTAGTCTTTCATGCAAGGTTCATCTCTGTGGGTTAGCAGGAGAAGAGACAAAGTATTGGATTTTAATAGATATTATATGAGAAATGATTGTGTACTTTATTTGTATATTAAATAGAAGTTTACTCTTACCTGGTTCTGATTCTCATAGTGAGTATAAATTTCTCTCCACTTCTGCTTTATTGCATTCTCCTGGAAGTTGCTTTCACAGGTTGAGCAGAACTGTTCCCCAACCCCCTTTTATTTTTTGGTCGGTTGTGGGGCTTGAACTCTGGGCTTGGGCACTGTTTGCCCTTTTAACTTACCCATTTTAAACCAGCGAGTTTTTTCAGAGTGTTATGGTTGTTACTATGCAGAGGCAGGGTTTGGATGCCACCCACAAAACAATAGGATATGAAAAGTCTCATAACTCACACCATAATACTTCCTTTTTTTTTTAATCATCATTAATTTTTATTTTTTATTTATTTATTTATTTATTTTTTTGTCGGTTGTGGGGCTTGAACTCTGGGCCTGGGCGGTGTCCCTCAGCTCTTTAGCTCAAGGCTAGCGCTCTACCACTTGAGCTACAGCGCCACTTCCCTCACACCATAATACTTTCAAGAGAGCAGTGTCACTACAGAAACATCTGAGAATGTAGTGAAAGAGCAAGGAAAGTTTCCAGGCTTGAGTTTCCATAGTGGTAAAGAAGCGGGGCTAGGACTCCTTGTGTGGACCAGGGATTGTGTAGTTTCTACTTCATGTTAGTGTTAAAGGAGGGATCATTGAGGCTTTTGATATACTCGTCCAGATGTGAAGAGAAGAGTAAGGGAGGATGAGACTTTAAAGCTGTTAGCAGTTAAAATCTAAAATAGTCATGTTCTTTATGACACTAGAAAGTATGCTTCTGGCTGGAGGTGTGGCTCAAGGAATAAGAGTGTGACAATAAAGAAAAAAAAAAGGAAGGAAGGAGGCTTCCAAAACACATTTTTTCACATAACTGGATATAACTCCACTTTGTCTATTTTTCTACAAGAAAAGCACATTTGATAATCTCAACTCTGTTTTATTAAATGCAATTACAAGTTACCTCAATCTCGTGATTTTTTTTCCTTTTTGTGCCAATCGTGGGGCTTGAACTCAGGGCCTGGGAGAGGTTCCTAAGCTTTTTTTTTTTTTTTTCTCAAGGCTAGTACTCTACCACCATAGTTCCACTTCTTTCTCTCTCTCTTTCTTTCTTCCTTCCTTCCTCCTTCCTTCCTTCCTTTCTTTCTTTCTTTCTTTCTTTCTTTCTTTCTTTCTTTCTTTCTTTCTTTCTTTCTTTCTTTCTTTCTTTCTTTCTTTACTTCCTTTCTTCCTTTCTTTCTTTGGTGGTAAATTGTAGATAAGAATCTCAGAGCTATGATTCTCATGGACTTTCCTGTCTGGGCAGGCTTTTAACTGTAATCTTCACATCTCAGCCTCCAGATTAGCTATGATTATAGGTGTGAGCCACAGGTACACAGCAATCTCTTGATTTTTTAAAAAAATTAATTTTATTGTCAAGGTCATGTACAGAGGGGTTACAGTTACATACTTAAGGTAGTGAGTATATTTCTTGTTGAACTTGTTTTTTATGGGTGCCACTGAGTAGTAACCACACTGAGACATAAATGCACGTGTTTAAGTAGAAAAATGATCTCTAAATGAATTTCTCTTTGGGAAATAATGAAAAGAAGAGAATATGAGGACAGAATTAACAAGTAAGCTGGGGTTCACCAGGCACATTTGTTTGGTGAAAGATAAGCAACAGTCATTTGTGATCTCTTCCATCATTTTTCAGAACCATTTTGACTACAGTGATCAGAAATTTCATGCATTGATTGAAAGTTTTCATGATAACCTCAGAATTTTAAGTACTTCCTGGATACAAGTAAGATTTATTTTCATTTAAATGTGACATTGCTCCTGCACCCAAGGGTACCTGCTCATTACTCAAAAGCTAGTAGTTGGATTCTGAGAGTTAGAGGGAGGAAAACAGGGTCTGTGAATCCTGGGACCAGCAAAGACCAGACCAGTTAGGTAAATGTGCACAATCTGCAGAGCAATAAGTTCCTGAACTCAGATATACTATGTGTGTGGGGAAGTTTCTTAATTTTTGTGATGTAGTGTTTCTTCATTACAAGAAGAATTTTACCCCTACTGCATTGTATTGTAGGAGGCATGTTTTATTCATCTTTATTTAGCACTTAGCAAAGTGCTGGCATGCAGTGACTGTGAATGCTCACAGTGTGTTAATGAGTACTCCTTGCTCTTTCAGCTCTGCAATGCTTTCCCTGCTTTACTTTATCTCCCAGGAAGTCATAACAAGCTCTTTAAAAATATTGCTCACCAAAAAAATATTATTTTGGAGAAAGTAAAAGAACATAAAGAAGCTCTGGACCCCAGTAATCCTCAGGACTTTATTGACTATTTTCTGATTCAAATGGAAAAGGTATAACATGACCTTGATTTTCAACTTCATGTTTCTGAGTTATGTGATTCATAGATTACCTTTGATCTTCTTAGGAGAATAACATTACCTTCCTAAAGATATACTCTTTGCTTGCGTAACATTGTTTTCTGAAAATCATATTGAGTGTCTTGGAGTATTTTAAAATTCTCATTGGAAAATAATTTTTTGGAAGTTATATATTTATCATTTTAGAAATGTTTCATATTTGAAGGTATATTGGAATACAAAACACACCTATAAAGATTGAAGGTAAGAGGCCATACTATATAAAATAACCCACATGAGTGGAAGATCTTACAGGCCAGGAGAATACAGGAATGGGTAGGAATCTTGAGAGTCTTCACAGTTGAGATAGGTTTTGGGGATTTGATAAGGAGCATGAAAGAAAGCCAAGGAATGGTACATGTATATGGTAACCACGTGTGTGGAAAGATTGAGAAGGTTATCTTTCCTGTAATTGAGGAATGGTAATGATTGTCATGACAAAGGAGTTTGGGAAGCGATGCATCTTGGGAGTATGTAGGAAGGAAGGCTTGGATGGGAAATATAGACTTGTTAAAATAGACAACACATTCTACAACTAGCATGGAGTAGCAATGAACAATTTGAAACAGTTTATGTTTGAAATAAATGACAAAGGAACTGATTTTCTTTAGTAAAGGTAAAAGTACAGATTTAGAAAAGACTTGGAAGTTGGTAATGCTACATATTAATAATTTGGAAGGATCCAAATATGTCCATATATATATATATTACCTTCAGCTATAATGCACTTATCTCTGATTAATTTAGCAAATGCTTGTGTTCTCTAAAAGCACTTTATGATATTTCAAACACCTCTTTTAACCAAGTAATTCTCACTCATCACTGTTAGGAAAAACACAACAAACAGTCTGAATTTACCATGGACAACCTGATCACCACTTGTTGGGATGTGTTTAGTGCAGGAACAGAGACAACGAGTACCACGATGACATATGGACTTTTGCTCTTGTTGAAGCATCCTGAGATCTCAGGTATGAGCATAGGTAGTGAGTAGGGGAAAATCCAGGTAGAAACTGGCAGACAGCATAGAGAACCAGCTCACCCTTGACTTGGCTACACATTGTACAAGGAAAATTTCCATCATAGCATAGGAGTCTGCCATCGGAAAGATGTGATTAAAATGAGATCGCAGTAAAGAAACCAAATGAAATGCTTAAGCAACAGCAGAGATTGGAAGGGCAATGGTTGCTCTTCTCCCTCCTATGATTCAGAATCCTCTCTTTAGATTGTGGGAGATGTAGTAACAATTCTTAAGGAGCTACACATTTTTCTGCATGAAGAGTTTGTTCCACAGGTTTTCTATGCCTAGGTTAGGTATGTCATGGTCAATAGATACTCAAATTCATTATAGGAAGGATTACACCCCGATAAAAATCTCTTCTAATATGACTTTCTGAATAAAGAAAATGTTCTGACAAATGTAACTTCTCTTGTAAATGCAGACTTTCTACCTTGTCTCCCTCTTTTTTTTATTGGGTGTTCATCTAGATCAACACTTTCTTTATGGTTATATCATAGTTTGTGTTTTGAAATTTTTAATAGGGATAATATCCTGATATTTATCTCATGCTAACACCACCAAAAGTTTCCACTGGTTTAAGGACCTTTTCCTATGAATAGGAGATATTCCATGAACTGTACAACTTAGATGCAAAATTGGAGTATGTATTTGATAGGACATACTGTATAATATGATGTGATCTAGGTTTCTCTCAAATAATACACTCTGTCAGTCATACAACTTCACTGATGGCTTGTGAGAGATCTGTGTTGATTATGAGGAAGTATATATTATTCTTAAGCCTTTAAATTCTCTGTATATTGCACAAGCTTTTCTTCTGTCATATTCTTTATTGCTTTCATATTGATTTTCTTTTTGGATCTTCTTTTGCACCATCTTTATGTTCCTGAATCTATCTGTCTGTCTTTGCCTTTTCTGTCTCTGTCTCTCTCATATATATATATGTTTGTGTGTGTGTATAAATATAAAAAAATATATTGACATTTTTGTTGCCATGCTATCCTTTACTTATTTTTGTCTTGAGTACTCTGACTACTAACATGACAATTCTCTTCTAGAAGGAACTTGAGCCTCTCAAGGAAAGGTGAAGTTCAAAATTTGTTTCACATTATTAATTTTTCTTTTGAATTGTTGGGATTTTTTTCTTTTTTAATATATATTTTTATTGTAAAGATACTGTACAGAGAGGTTACAGTTACATGAGTAAGGTAATGAGTACATTTCCTCTCAAACATTGTTACCCCTTCCTTGGTTTTTCCCCTACCAACCCTTCCCTCCCCATCTTCCCAACTCCTCCCATCCCTCCCAAAATTTTCAACATGGTGTCTTATACATCTCATTGTTACAATGGGTCAACTTGTATCCTTATTTTAGCTTTTCGTTATTTCCCTTCCACTTCCCAAATTATAAAAATTGTATATACAAGATGCAGGGCACCAGAATCAAATACAGTGAAAATAGGGATTATACCATGGGGGAAGAACATACAACAGAAACAAACAAAAAAAATCACATAGTACATTTTTTTTTTTTTTTTGGTAGGTCATGGGGCTTGAACTCTGGGCCTGGGTGCTGTACCTCAGCTCTTCAGCTCAAGGCTAGTGCTCTACCACTTGAGCCACAGCACCACTTCTGGTTTTCTGGTGGTTTGTTGGCGATAAGAGTCTCATGTACTTCCCTGCCTGGGCTGGCTTTGAACCGTGATCCTCAGATCTCAGCCTCCTGAGTAGCTAGGATTACAGGTATAAGTCACTGATACCCGGATGATTTTTTCTTTATAGCTGTCAAACATAGAATTTTCATAAGCTCCATTACAAAGTCACATTCTTTGGGTAGTAGAAAAATACTACTTGATCTAAGGGAGTAGCAACATGTAGTTACAGATTTCAATAGTAATGACTTCAGATTCGGAGTCTTCTAGCAAGCAGCCATGTCACCTCCATCCCCTGACTGCCTTGCCATGTCTCTAAAGGCCACATATCATCCAGTGTGCTAAGGGATCATAGTTAGTCTCTGAACTAGTTTAGTTTTAAGCTACACAAAATAATACTTAATCCTTTGAACTATTTTGAAGAACAGTAAAATATATGGTAGATCAGTCATACATTACATTCTAAATAAATGATACCTTCTTCACCTATGCTGAAACAAGTAAACATCTATTTTTGTTGTTATTTATTAAGAATTTAACACAGGTGGCACTTTCTTAGAATTTTCATACTTTTAACAAACTGGCATAGACAAAGTGGTTATATTACAGAGTCTTCAATGATATACAGATTCCAGATTTCTCAATCTGCTGAGCAAAACTTGACAAATTAAGAAGTAAAGTTGAGAAATCAGTTTAATAGCATGTTAGTACTATATATAATATATATTAATAATATATAATATATAATATTATTATATATTATAATACTATATAATTATAGTATATTATACTATATATAGTATCTATGTATAGTTCTATATATACTATATACTATAATATAGTAAAGAATATATAGTACGAAATATACCTTATAGAACTATATATATATATATATAAAACTTACTATATATATCACTATATATACGTGTGTGTGTGTGTGTGTGTGTGTGTGGTGTGTGTACACAGATTAGGTTTCTCACAATCTTCTAATTTATCCAGAAGACAAACTCCTTTTTCCCTATGGAGAAAGTGACAATTTTTCTATCTCCCCACCTCCTATCACAACATGATAATGATTAAGAGATTATGTAGAAGATAATTCTTTCCATATACATTCTGATTCCTTCCTGGCCAGTTACAATCCATGAAGAGATCCAACGTGTGATTGGCAGGCACCGAAGCCCCTCCATGCAGGAGAGGAGCAGAATGCCCTACACGGATGCTGTGGTACATGAGATCCAGAGATATATTGACATCCTCCCCATCAACATGCCCCATGTGGTGACTAAGGACATTCAGTTTAGAGACTACTTTATCCCAAAGGTAAGAAATATTCAATCTATAGTCGAAAGAATCCCAGGCTGACAATGATCATGGAAGTACAATGATAGATTTTTCTGACATTTTACAGGTATGGTGCAGCCATAACTCAGACATCTTACCCACAACCACTACCTTCTAGTTTGTTGGTTCAATTTCCCAAATCTAATGGTACTTAGATTCTTACAGACTTCAGTACTTTAAGAACTTCTCAGTTGGTCTGTTCATTAGCAGCTTCTGCTGTCCACTTTCCTGCAGCAATAGTTCTTTTTAGTCTAACTCAATGTACTTCATGATATACAACAATGACTCTTTCAACCCGAAACCCTCCTCAAAGTTCTATCTTACCACCAGTTTCTTTTCCTCAGGCAATCTGTCCTTCTCTTCCTCTAGATTTACATACTTAGCTATACCTACACAATTCTGTTTCTTGTCTCCTTGTGGAAGGACTTTCTTTTATCTAAACATAACTTTTCTACCTGTGTCATGCTTCCTTTGTATCTCTCTTTTCCAAGGATCTCTCTAAAATAGCCACATTTTTCAAGTTTCTTTTTCCCTCCAGTGCACTTATTTATTTATTTGCAATTTTTAGTGTTTCACTACTCTACATATGTATGTGCTAATATATCATATGATAATATTTGTACCTTCATCATCCTTTCCTTTTGTACTTCTTCCTCCCAATGGCTTCCCTAATAGCCCCTTTCTAAATTCATGTCCTTATTTTTGTTTTAATCTGATTGTTTTAGGTCTATATTCTACATATGAGAGTAAACATGTTTACCTTTTTGAGTAAACATGTAATATTTACCTTTATGACATACTTTGCTTAACATGATTATTTCCATCTCCTTTTTTCCTGAAAATAACATAATTCCATTTTACATGGATTCAATACATAAACATATATACACACACACCACAGTCTCTTTTATCCATTCATCATTTTGTGAGCATCTAGGCTGGCTTTGAAGTCTAGCTATTATGAATAATGATGTTACAACTCGGGAGTGGTATAATAAATGTCCAGGAGTGGTATAAAAGGATCACATGGTAGTTGTATTTTTAGGGTTTTGGAGGAACTCCATGCTGATTCCTGTAGTGGCGGCACTAGTTCACATTCAACTAAAAAGATCTCAGGTTGCATTTTCCCTACATTTGCACCAGCATTTGTTGTTCATATTCTTGAAGATATACATTCTGACTGGGATAGGATCAAAGCTCAATATCATTTTGATTTACATTTCCTTAATTACTAAAGTGGCTGTGGCTTGTATTTGTAATCTTAGCTGCTCAAGAGACTAATTTGAAGGATCATGATTTGAGGCTAGACTCCAAAATAATCACCAAAAAGCAGGACTATAGATGTTACTCAAATGATAAACCTCTAGCCTAGCAAGCACGAAACCCCTAGTTTAATCCCTAGAACCACCAAAAAAAGAAAAAAGATCTTCAGTACCTCTTCATGCTTTTATTGGCCATTTATCTTCTTTGGAAACTATTATTTGTCTGTCTATAAATTGAGTGTGTAATTTAGTTTAGTGTTTAATTTTTGGAATTTTTTCTGTTACTGTTGGTTTTATTTTATTATTTTGACCCTATGGCTTAAACTCAGGAATTGTGTGCTATCTCTGAGTTTTTTTTTTTTTTTTAATTTGCTTAAGGCTAGTGTTGTACTACTTGAGCCACAGCTCCACTTCTGGGTTTTTTGGTGTTTATTTAGAGATAAGATTCTTACTGTTTTTCCTTCCTGGTTTTAAAATGTAATCCACAGATCTCAGGCTCCTAAGTAGCTAGGAGTACAATCATGAGCCATGAATGCCCAGCTTAGAGTTATTTATATATTCTGGTTATGAATTCTTTGTAACTGAATAACTGGCAAATGTTTTCTCCTAGTCTGTGGTAGAAATCGTTTACCTCTTTTGTTAGACTTTTGTTTTTCTGATTTCTTTCTTAGTCTGTTTATTGTTGGTTTATAGACAAACTACTGGTTTTTGAATGTTGATTTTTGTATCCTGGAATGTATTTTTCCAAATACATTCATCAGATATAAGAATCTTTTGGTAGAATATTTAGGGTCTTTTAAGAATAAGCTAATAACATATGCAAACAGGGAAATTTTGACTTCTTCCTTTTCTATTTGTGTTTTCTTTAGTTCTTTCTTGGCTTATTGCTCTGGCTAGAAATTCATTCACTAAATTGAATAAGAGTGGAAAAGTGGCCAGGCACTGGTGGATTACATCTGTAATTTTAGCTACTCAGGAGGCTGAGATCTGAAGATCACGGTTCAAAGTCAGCCAGGGCAAGAAAGTCTGTGAGACTCTTATCTCCAATTAAGCACCAGAAAACTGGATGTGGAGCAGTTTTAAAGTGGTAGAACACTAGCCTTGAGCAAAAGAGCTCAGAGACATCACCCAGGCCCTCAGTTCAAGCCCCATAAATGACAAAAAGACAATACAATACAATACAAAACAAAAAAAGAATGGAAAAGTGGACACTTCTGTCTCATTCTTTAAGCACTTAAGAGAAAGTGCTTTTTTCCCATTTAGTATAATGCTGTCTGTAAGTTTATGTTGAAGTATGTCCATTGTATTCCTAGTTTTTACGGATAGTGACATTGTCCTTGTTAGATTATATTGCAATTGATCTGTCAAGAGCAATGCATGCTAGGTAGTTTCCTTTGTTTTCTGTAGATTAAGTGCAGGTGTCAGACTTTAGACTTAAGACCCGTTCATCTTGGCCATTAATTATTTCTGTGACATAGCAAATAAATTCTCCTTTTTGTGCTTCAATCTCTTCATCAACAAAACAAAAGGCTTGGTTGACATGGGTCTATTTTTTTAAAGTTTTATGATGTCCTTTATTTTTTTAATTTTAATTTTTGCTGGTCACGGGGCCTGAACTCTGGTCCTGGGTACTGTTCCTCAGCTATTCAGCTGAAGGCTAGCACTCTACCACTTGAGCATCAGCCCCACGTCTGGCTTTTTCTGCTTATGTGGTGCTGAGGAATCGAACCCAGGGCCTCATGCATGCAAGGGAAGCACTGTACCACTGAGCCACCTTCCCAGCCCCTTATGATGTCCTTTATAATTTGATGTATCCATTTCCTTTCTATCAGGGCACAAAAATCTTAACATCTCTGAATTCTGTCCTGCATGATGAGAAAGCATTTCCCAATCCAGAGCAGTTTGACCCCAGCCACTTTCTGGATGCAAGTGGTAACTTTAAGAAGAGTGACCACTTCATGGCATTTTCAGCAGGTAAGTGAGCTTCCCTGTCACCAGTGTACCAGGAGTTAATGAGTGCTTTGCATGAAGGCCCTCTGGGCTTGATAAACTGCCATTTCTAGGAGGCCAGAGGCACAACTCCCAAATTCCAAATTGTTTCTCCTCGGGTCCCTTCCCAGGATTCCTATGAGTCTCTCCTAGACGTCCAGTTCTGATGCTTTTCTCAAGAACCTTAAATCAGATCACTTAAACTTACTGAGCACCTTATATGGGATTTTATCCCATGCCAGATCCCAAGATTCAAATATGAATAACAAACAGATTTCCCTTCTAAGTGAGAGGGAGACAAATGAACATCCAAGGAAACTGAGATGTGATGCATGCTGAGCTGAAGGCTGCTGTGGAAACTCGAAGAGAGAAGCACCTTTACCTAGTCTTTGGAGAGTCAAGGGCAGAGTAGTGGAAGGCTAAGGGACATTGTTGCACATAAACATTTCACTCAATTTGTAAGCATCCTTGGAAATAATTAAGTCTTGCATTCAATAGATGAATTAGATAATTTCAGGGGAACATGTTTTCAAGAGGGCCAACAGGAGTAGGGAAGTAATATAGTGAAATGATGAGTACTCGTATCAGCAGGCAGATGCCAGAAGCATCTGGAACAGAAAGGGAGACCCAAGGCAAAAGGGGGTGCAGCTGGAATGCCAATGGACCTTCAGCTCAACTGAAAATGCAGGCACTGGTACAATTATGCAGCCTTTGTCCAAGCTGTGACTCTGATTTTTTTCAATACCTCATCCTCTGAGTTCATGTAGAACCTGGAAGAATCTAACTCAAGGGTTAATACAGCCCAGGGAAATTAGTTTTCTGGGAACAGGTAGGCATAAAGAACACTAACAATGCAGAATAGATGTAGAAAGAGAAAGAAATGAATATTTAGCACATTCCAAGGAAAGCAGGAAGCAGAGTAACTTAACACAGGGCAGAGATAAGATTTGCTCGTGATCGTTTGTCTAAGACAATGTGTATCATATGACCCTTGGGGCTATGCTTCCAACGTGCTGTGCAAAACTCAAAGCCACTCCCTGATTTCCTACTTGCAGTCTTTCTGCTTGTAGTTTGGGGTCCACTATGGTTTGAAATTTCTATTTATCGCACATATCGTGCAGTCCTGTGTTGTCCTGGCACTGGAGTATCATTACAGAGCTAAGACTTACCTTAAGAGCTGGTATTCAGTCTGTGAGGCAGATGAAGTATTTTTTTTTCCTCTCTCTTTTTTGACAGTCCTAGGGCTTAAACTCTGGTGTTGTCCCTGAATTTCTTTTACTCAAGGAGAGCTCATTACCACAGCTCCACTTCTGGCTTTTTTGAGTAGTTTATTGGTGGTAAGAGTCTCATGGCCCTTTTATCCTGCCCCAGCTGGCTTTGGATTGCGATCTTCCTCCTCCTCCTCCTCCTCCTCCTCCTCCTCCTCCTCCTCCTCCTCCTCCTCCTCCTCCTTCTCTTCTCTCTTTTTGTTGGTCTTGGGGCTTGATCTCAAGGTCTAGGCACTGTCCCTAAGCTCTTTTACTCAAGGTAGAACTCTATCACTTTGAACCAGAGTCACTTCCATTTTTCTTTCTTTCTTTCTTTCTTTCTTTCTTTCTTTCTTTCTTTCTTTCTTTCTTTCTTTCTTTCTTTCTTTCTTTCTTTCTTTCTTTTCTTTCTTTCTTTCTCTCTCTCTCTCTCTCTCTCTCTCTTTTCTTTCTTTCTTTCTTTCTCTCTTTCCCTCCCTCCCTCCCTCCCTCCCTCCCTTCCTTCCTTCCTTCCTTCCTTCCTTTCTTTCTCTCTCTCTCTCTCCCTCCCTCTCCTTCCTTCCTTCCTTCCTTCCTTCCTTCCTTCCTTCCTTCCTTTCTTTCTTTCTTTCTTTCTTTCTTTCTTTCTTTCTTTCTTTCTTTCTTTCTTTCTTTCTTTCTTTCTTTCTTTCTTTCTTTCTTTCCTTTCTTTCTTTCTTTCCTTTCTTTCCTTTCTTTCTTGTTGGTTGTGGGGCCTGAACTCTGGGCCTGAGCACTGTCCCTCAGCTCTTCAGCTCAAGGCTAGCACTCTACCACTTGAGCCACAGAACCACTTCCAGCTTTTTCTGCTTAAGTGGTGCTGAGGAATTGAACCCAGGGCCGCATGCATGCAAGGCAAGCACTCTTACCACTGAGCCACCTTCCCAGGCCCCTTATTTCCATTTTTCTGGTGGTTAATTGGAGATAAAGAGTCTCTCCTGCCCCGGCTGTCTTTGAACTATGATCCTCAGATCTCAGCTTCCTGAATAACTTGGATTACAGGTGTGAGCTACCATTACCTGGCTACATTTCTTTTTATACTTGGCAAAAGTATGCTCTGGATAAAAGCTTGAACAGATAGTCAGTGAAATTGATCTTACCTCTTAGATCTAGATGAGGAGAAATAAATCTGTAGAGATCTGGCTCAGGGGTAAATGAAAAGTACATAGTCATATATCATGTCAGTGGGAATAAGTGTGTGTGTTGTGTGTGTGTGTGTGTGTGTGTGTGTGTGTGTGCGTGTGTGTGTTTGTTTACAGGAAGGTGTTAACAAGCCTTAGAATAGTAGATTCATTGTGGTTGTAGAGAGATTTTTTTTTTTCCGATAAAGCATGAACACAGAACTTTCTGTTGAGGAAAGGGAGGAAATCAGGTTTACACATAAATAGAAGTTGTGGGTTAATCATTCACTAATATATTTATTATTCTTCAATTTATTTTAGACTCCCTGTGTGCTGAGAATCTGAACTAAATAGCTAGTCAATTTGTATGTCTTTTTTTTTTTTTTAAGGGAAACGAGTTTGTCTTGGAGAGAGCCTGGCCCGTATGGAGCTGTTTTTAGTCCTGACACACATTCTACAGAATTTTACCTTGAAAACTCTGGTTGACCCACAGGACATTGACACCTCACCAGCTGCAATTGGGATTGGCTCTGTACCCCCACACTATGAGCTTTGTTTCATTCCGGTTTGAAGAAAGGGCAGGCAGCCAGACAGCTGAGTGGGAGTCTTAGCTGTCTCCCAATGGGCAAGTGTCTCCTTCCCTGTGTTCCATCCATCCTGCACCCTTGTCTAAGCAGAAATGCCACCCCTGAACCCTGCTTCTTCTAATTGCCCTATCCTTTATGATCTAGTTCAAATTTTCCTTTGTTAAAAATAAATCTCACTGCTTTATCTCCAATAAAATCATTAAGCAACAGGATACTTAGGCCACAGACTATAGCACACTTGTAATATATACTAAATGGAAAGCATGTGATATGTAATGCTTTATTTTAGTAGAAGTTGTTCCTACTTAAACAAATGTTCAGAATAAAATGTGAACATGGCTCATTTTACTCCTATGTAACTCATGAGTAATCTCTTGATAGTTTTTCATGTAGACGATTATCTCAGGGGTCTATTACAATATAATTGTGTGTACACGTGTATGATACACTTGCTGATGGTTGTATAGGTAGGTATGTGTGTTGTTCTGAGTATGTGTGCACAGAAAAAAAGGAAAGATAATTCTATCCAGAGGGAGTAACATGAAGTAAAATTTGAATTGTCCAGCAATGCATGACGGCTGTCAAACTTTCCTATAACCCACCCATTTCTACACTGCCCACACTGCCCCAGAGGGTCTGAGCAGGTAAGCTCAGAAGGGAAGGCTAGTAGTGCTAGAGAGTTCTTCCCTGAGAGCTGGTGGCTGATTGGGTGTGGGCCCCATGGCCTAGGGCAATCTGGAAAACAAATAAACATACAAGCAAAACAAAGAAAAATGAATTTCTAGCCCAGCGCTGGTGGCTCACGCCCAGCTACTCAGGAGGCTGAGATCTGAGGATCATGGTTCAAAGCCAGCCCCGGCAGGAAAGTCCCTGAGACTCTTATCTCCAATAAACCACTAGAAAACCGGAAGTGGCACTGTGGCTCAAGCGGTAGAGCACTAGCCTTGAGCTGAAGAGCTGCGGGATAGAGGCCAAGCCCAGAGTTCAAGCCCCACAACCGACCAAAAAAAAAAAAAAAAAAAGAAAAAAAAAGAATTTCTATGGCCATAAAAAGGCATATTTGCATTTTCCTATTGCACAGTGTATTAAGGTTCCCTCCCCTTCCCAATTCCCACCAGCATTTGTTACTGTTGATTGTTTATAGTCTTGACAGTGACCATCCTTGAGGGAGATGTAATCTCAGTGTTGTTTTAATATGCTTTTTCTTTATGATCAGAGAAAATTTGTATTTGTATTTGATTTATTTATTCTTGGAGAGGGTCATCACTGGGTTTCTCAGAAGCAGAGATAAGGGATTTTTTCTTCCTTTACATTATTCTCTGAGGTGACTGAAAAGTTCAAAGCCAGCTCCAAAATATAAATAGATCAAATACAAATAGTGCCCCAATGTATGGTGGCTTCAGTTCTGATGTGTCTTTTGGTCATGCAAAAGGGATCTGTGAGTCAGGCACTGGTGGCTCATGCCTGTAATCTTTGCTACTCAGGGGGCTGAGATCTGAGGATCACAGTTCAAAGCCAGTCCAGGCAGGAAAGTCTGTGAGACTCTTATCCTCAAGTAACCAAAGAAACCCAGAAGTGGTGCTGTGGCTCAAATGGTAGAGTGCTTGCCTTGAGCTGAAGAGCTGAGGAACAGCGCTGAGGCCCAGAGTTCAAGCCCCACAACTGACAAAAAGGGGGGGGGGCAGAATCTGTGTTCAGTAATATAGTATATATAACACAATATAATACATTATACTGATGTATTCTGTGTTCAGTAATACTCACAATACAACTTGTGAATTTTCATCCTTTTCTAGCTTGACACATTGTACAATGCTCTTTCCTATTCTTGGGCAGCTGCAGTGAGCCAGGCTCCTGTCACCCACGAGAACATTAGGAAGTACTCAAAACTCTACGTGGTATTGTTCTGCTAGGCTCTGATGCTTGGTGGATATTAAGTACATTTCTACTTAGAATATTTTCAGATCAGATGAGTACAGATAGATATCTCCACATTATTAATTTAGAAGCATCTGCATTTATATTTGTTGTTGTTTTTGTTGGTAGTGGTGATCATGGGGCTTGAACTCAGTACCAAGGCACTGATATTGAGCTTTTCCACTCATGGCGAGAGCTCTACCACCTCAAGTCACAGTGCCACTTCTGGTTTTCTGGTGGTTAACTGGAGGTAAGAGTCTCAAGGACTTTCCTTCCAGGGGTGGCTTTGAACCATGATGCTTAGATCTCAGCCTCTTGAGTAGCTAGGATTACAGGTTTGAGCCACTTATACCTGGTTACATTTATCTCTTTCTCTTTCTTTCTTTCTTTTTTACAGAAGGGTTACAGTTGCATGAAACAGGTAGTGAGTAATGAGTACGCTTTTCTGACCTCAGTGCTTCTCCATGGTCTTATTTTCAGAGCATATCTATGCTTTATGCTTCATATTTTATTGGGTTGATATTTCTTAGTCTTTGTTTTTAAGAATAGAAGATTGAAATCAAGGATGGAATATCCCAAATGTATAGTGATTCCCATACTATAGAAGCTTCATAAACAGTTTTGTGGAGGCATGCTTCATGCCAGAAAGCATACTCTCCATAGTTTTTATTTTCACATGTATGTAGATTTAATGTAATTAATATTTTATATTTTTAACACATATTACTTAAATATATTAATAGGGTTCAGGATACTGTTCAGGCGCATGTATACAACATGCATTGATCAAATCCAGGCTCCTTTTATGTACTCCCTGCTCTCAGCTGTAGTAATTTCTTCCCAACTTGTAGTAATTTCTGTTCACATTCAGATGAACGTTTTCTCTATAAACTCACCAGTATTTGTTATTGAAAGCACCCCTCCCAGAAACCCACATGGACACAGTACAGGAAAAGGAGTTTGCCAATTGAGGCCTACAAGGCCACCTCCACCACGGGAGAGGGAGAAATGGTGCCTGTCTTTTTTTCAGGGTTAAATTTATAGTCAGGGGACTAGGGACGAGAAGTATGGGAAGTCCACTGCGTGCAAGCACAGCTGAATGCTAAAGATGGCACATAGCGGGGGCAGGGTTTTCTGATTGGAACAGTTACAGTTAGGCAGCATTCCTCAGATGCAGCTGGGGCTAGGGTTAAGACAAGGCTCAGCTCTGGGAATTGAAGTGGGATGAATGGTCAGGGCTGAAGGCCAGTTGCAGTTAGGCCTAGCCAGATCAACTAGTTTCGTGGGAGGGGCTGAGGACTTGAGATGGAGGGCATGCCAATAGTTATTATACATGTTAACACGCAGTGTGTCTAAAAGCCTCCGTAAGCCTTAGTATCAGAGCTTCCCAAAGGAAGGAGTAAGGAATTCCATGTAACCTAAGACCTATCCAGCTCAATTAGTTCCAGGATTCCTTCATTTGATGAAGAGTAAAAACAGATACAGGCCAAGAAATGGCACTTATGCTAAGTTAGGACACAAGTGGCTTAGGGAATGGTATCACACACATGTAAACACACACAGCAACAACATAGGGATGGGATGTAGCTCTGTGATCAAGTGCTTGCCTAGCAAGTAGGTTCCATCCCAGTACTAAAAAAACAAAACAAAACAAAAGACAACACACCCACACCCACACACCAAAATGACCTAAGTTTAGAATTATAGTTAAAATGTTTGTGTGGTAAATGTGTGTGTATATATGTATGCATATATACTTTTGTGTGTAGTGCATGTAATCACTTTGAAATTAGTTTCTTCTCCATTGTCACTGGTATTCTGAGACAGTACATTTCTTTAGGTGCTGATAAAAGACATTCCTCTGAGTAAATGTTATTTGTATTTTGGTTTCCCAATGATCTAAAGATGAGAAGGAACAAATTCTTTTGAACTCCGATTTCTGTTTATCCTTGGGGGATTTTATTGACTTTAGTAACTTAGTAAGTTTCATAACTTTAGTAAGTTTACAGGACTTCAGAGCCAAATAGGACTGCAGACTGCATGGTACATAATAATTAACTAGTATCTTTGGAATGCTTTTGCATTTCCACAGTTCACAGTACATGTTCAGCATTAGAGGGTTTATTCTACCTTCCGGTGGCAACTGCAGTGACTCTCTTTAGTCTTCATTCCCATTTTTTTCATGTAACATGGAGCAGCACCTTTCTACTTGTCTTATCATTTATGAGATTCACATAAAAATATGACTTCATAAATTTCACATGCTGTGTCTGAAATAGAATTATTTGAACTAAGAAAACATAAGTACTTTAAAAGAATCTAATTGTGTCTCTAGGTAAGTGTTTTTTAAAAATTTTTATTATGAAAATACTGTACAGAGGGTGACAATTACATGGGCAAGATAATGAGTACATTTCTTATCAAGCATTGTTGCTTCCTCCTTTGTTTTCCCTTCCTATCCCTTCCCATATCCCACCCTCCCCACCCACGGTAAGTGTTTTTAAGTAGAAACGTTTTTGTAGGAATGAAAGAGTGAAACTAAATCCCTATCACTAATTACAAATGCCAACTCCAAAATATGGATGGTTTAATGTAGGCCCCTAATTATGAACCCACTTACAGAAAACATGACAGAACTGAATGCAGATGTGTATGTCTATAATCTTAGCAACTGGATAGCAGATGAAGAGGTATCATGAGCTCATTGAAGGCAACGCTACATAAAGACCTAGTTTGAAGAAGAAAGAAAGAAAGAAGAAAACATGAGTGTTATTAAGCACCAGATAAAGTTATCTGATACAGGATTGAAAGGCCTCATTTTCTAAAGAATTGGATGGACATTTGAAAGGAAATTTCCTAAAGATGTCACACAAGACCCACGATGCGCCAAGTGAATATAAAGAATAAAATGAATACTATGTATGGAAAATTAAGTTCAATGACAATGACAAAAATTTATGTTGTATCACATGGACAATAATCTTAGAAGTTTCTATGTTGCTGTCAATAAAATCAATGATACATAAACACAAGATAAAAATCAGAAGTATTTCTGTAGCTTAATTTTACAACATAGCTACACTGGTGTAGGAAAAGCATAGAGGATCAGGTTTAAAGCCAGCCCAGACAGAAAAGACTCAGTGAGACTCTTATCTTTAATACTCAAAAACAGGAAGTGGTGCTGTGGCTCAAGTGGTAGGGTGCTAGCCTTGAGCACAAAGAGGCTGCTGGAGAAGCCTTGAATTATAATAATTAAAGCTTGTCACCAGAAAAAAAAAACAATCATATTATTTGCAGTAGTTGATGGAACTGGAGTACATTGTCAAATGAAGTTCTGCAGATTCAGAGAGATAACACCATCTTTCTCTCTTGTATAGAAGTAAGCAACAATAACAAAAAACTCATCTGAATGTGAATATAAATTACTAGTG